TCACGTTCGATGCTTGATGACGTCGGATGTTTGGTGATGTGTGGCGTTTGAGGTTCTATGTTTGACGATGTATGACGTGTGTTATTTGATGATGTATTATGTTTGGTGGTTGGTGTTTGATGATGCTGAATGTTAGGTGATGTATGATGATTGGTGTATGATGTATGAAGTTGGATGATGTATGATTGTTGCTGTTTGTTGTATGATGTTTGATGATGTGCAATGTATTACGATGCATGATGTTTGATAATGTGTGATGATGTATGGTGTGCGGTGTTTGATTGTCTAGTATGATGCCTGGTGCTTGATGAGGTATTATGATGTATTGTGCTTGATGGTGTATTATGATGTATGATGTATAGAGTACAGTAATGTATGGTGATGTATTATGATGTATGGTGTTTGATGGTGTATTATGATGTATGGTGTATGATGCTTGATGATGTGTGATGATGTATGATGTATGAGATTTGATGGTGTGTGATGCTTGATGAAGTATGGTGCTTGACGGTGTATGATGTTTGATGATGTATGATGGTTGATCATGTATGGTGTCTGTAAAATGTTGTATGATGCATGATGATGTATGTTATATGTTCATCATCATCACCAGCAGCAGCATCGGCATCACAGTCATCATCAGCATCAGCACCACCATCAGCATCAGCATCACCACCAGCATAATCATCATCAGCATGATCATCATCACCACCTTCATCATCGTCGTCGCCATCGTCGTCGTCATCGTCATCGTCATCATCATCATCACGATCATCATCATCATCATACGCACCATCATCATCAGAAGCATCACCATCACCATCATCATCATCATCATCAGCATCAGCATCATATCATCATCACGCCCTCGTCCCGTTCGACCGCCTCAATCACCATCATCACGCCCTCGCCGTCAGGCCTCCCAGGAGGCTTCCCAGGAGGCCCTAGAGACCCGTCAGGAGGCCCAAGAAGCCTCCCAGGAGGCCCCACAGGCCTCTCAGGAGGCCCAAGAGGCCCCTCAGGAGGCCAAAGAGGTCTCTCAGCAGGATGCCCAAGGGGCCTGCCGGGAGGCTCATGAAAACCCCACAGGAGGCCCAAGAGTCCTCTGAGGAGGCCCCAGGAGGCCCCTCAGGAGGCCCCAGAGGCCTCTCAGGAGGCCCAAGAGGCTTCTCTGGAGGCCCAAGAGGCCTCTCAGGACGCCCAAGAAATCTCTCAGGAGGCCAAAGAGGCCTCCTAGGAGGCCCAAGAGGCCCCCCAGGAGGCCCAAGGAAGCTCAAAAAGGCCTCTCAGGAGGCCCAAGATGCGTTTCAGGAGGCCCAATAAGTCTCTCAGGAGGCCCAAGAGGCCTTCCAGAAGGCCCAAGAGGCCTCCCAGGAGGCCCAAGAGGCCTCCCAGGAGGCCCCCCAGGAGCCCCAAGAGGCCTCTCAGGAGGCCCAACAGGCCTCTGAGGAGGCCCCAGAGGCCTCTCAGGAGGCCCAAGAGGCTTCTCAGGAGGCCCAAGGGGCTTCCCAGAAGGCTCAAAGAGGCCTCAGGAAGCCAAAGAGGCCTCCCAGGAGGCCCAATAGGCTTCACAGGAGGCCCAATAGGCCTCCCAGGAAGCCCCAAAGGCCTCACAGGAGGCCCAAGAGGCCTCCCAGGATGCCCAAGAGGCCTTCCAGGAGGCCCAAGAGGTCTCTCAGGAGGCCCAAGAGGCATTTCGAGAGGCCCAAGATGCCTCTCAGGAGGCCCAGGGAGCATCCCAGGATATCCGAGAGGCCTCTCAGGAAGCGGAAGACGGCTTTCCCAGGAGGCCCCGCACGCCCCGCGCGCCGCGCGCGCCACGCGCGCCCCGCGCGCCGCGCGCGCCCCGCGCGCCCCGCGCGCCCCCGACCGCGCGCCTCGCGAGCCCCGCGAGCGCCCCACCCCCCGCGCCGCCCCGCGCGTCCGCGCGTCCCGCGCAGCCCGCGCGCCCCCGCGCGCCCCGCGCGCCCCCCCGCGCCCTCCGCGCGCCCCCCCGCGTCCCCCCCCCACTGAGACCGACACGCCCGGCCATCATCCCCCGGTTAGCCCTACTACTACTACTACTACTACTACTACTACTCTACTACTATACTACTACTACTACTACTACTCTACTTCTACTACTACTACTCTACTACTACTACTACTACTACTACTACTACTACTACTACTACTACTACTAACTCACTACTACTATACTACCACTATTACTACTACTACTACTACTACTACTACTACTACTACTACTACTACCTACTAACTACACTACTACGACTACTACTACTACTACTACTACTACTACGACTACGACTACGACTACGACTACGACTACGACTACGACTACGACTACGACTACGACTACGACTACGACTAGCACTACTACTACTACTACTACTACTACTACTACTACTACTACGACGACGACGACGACGACGACGACTACTACTACGACTACTACTACAACTACTACTGCGACTACTACTGCGATTGCTACTCCTACTCCTACTCCTGCGACTACTAATAATAATACTTGTAATAAACATGTAAATAATAGTAATAATCATAATAATAATCATGGCGGTCGAATAACTCGTGCGGCTATTCAAACCCGTCCTGCCCCTCCCACCCGGCAAAAACCATGGTGGGAGGGGGGGCGGATTAGGGAAAAGGTGGGAAGAAAGCACGAGATCACAAACGAGGTAGGCAAAGAGGTGAACATGTGAGACGCGAGTAAGACAGGTAGAACCAAGTGGTAAGCATCGAGCCGCGCCGCACCTCGGATCCCCATCCGGCTCCCCATCTGCTCCCCAAAGTCCCCCCGTCCCACAGCGAAAGTCTCAGGCGGCGCTCGGAGGTGGCACCAGGATATGGGCAGAGGACATGATGAAGAGGAGGTGGAGACAGGTGCAGTGGCTCGCTCTTGGGGGTGAAAGGCTGAGGGCCGCGGTGGCTGCTCTTTAACTCTACTCCTCCTCCTTTTCCTCCTCATCCTCCTCCCTCTCCTCCTCCTTTTACACTCACATAGTCGCCTGTGAGTCTGGCGCTCCTCCTCCTCTCCTCCTCCTCCTCCTCCTCTCTCCTCCTCCACCTCCTTCCTCTCCTACCCCTCACCTCGTCACCCGACCTCCTCTCCTCCTCCTCCTCCTCCTCCTCCTCCTCCTCCTCCTCCTTCCTCCTCCTTCCTCCTCCTCCTCCTCCTCCTCCTCCTCCTCCTCCTCCTCCTCCTCCTCTCTCCTCCTCCTCCTCCTCCTCCTCCTCCTCTCCTCCTCCTCCCTCCCTCCCTCCTCCTCCTCCTCCCTCCCTTCCCTCCCATCCCTCACCTCCTCCTCGCCTCCGCCTCCCTCCCTCCCTCCCTCCTCCTCCCTCCCTCCCCTCCCCTCCTCCTCCTCCTCCTCCTCCCCCTCCCTCCCCCCTCCTCCTCCTCCCTCCTCCCTCCTTCCTCCTCCCGTTCATCAATCCTCCTCCTCTCCTCCCTCGTCTCTCCTCCCTCCTACCTACTCCCTCCTCCCCTCCTCCTCCTCCTCTCCTCGTCTTCTCCTCTCCTCCTTCTCCTGTTCTCCTCCTCCTCTCCTCCTCTCCTCCTCCTCCTCCTCCTCCTCCTCCGTCTACTCCTCCTGCCTCCCTCCTCCTCCTCCTCCTCCTGCCTCCCTCCACCTCCTCCTCCTCCTCCTCCTCCTCCTTCTCCTCCTCCTCCTGCTCCTCCTCCTCTTCCTCCTTCTCCTCCTCCTCCTCCTCCGCCTCCTCCTCCTCTTCCGTTTCCTCCTCCCCCTCCTCCCTCCTCATCCTCCTCCTGACGGTAAATCGAGAATATCTGAGATCTGGAGGCTCTGGAGGATGTCTCGGGCGTTGCGGCCTTCCCAGAGCGTTCTGGAACACTCTGAGACCGTTCTCGAACGCTCTGGAACGGAGTAATCCTCGCCCTAGCCCCGTCCGACCGCTGCACTCACGCTGCACTGAAGGGGCCCAGGGACACACAAATGAATAGACACAAATCACACGATTCCCCACATGTTCCGTGTTTTCTGGATGCTCGTCTTCCCCTCCAACTCCTGTGACTGTTTGTGTCTGTGTGTTCCCCTCCTGACACACCTCTTCCGCATGAGGGGCCCTCCGTGTTGAAGTCCCGGGAGCCCCACCCCAGCACGGAGTGCTGCACCTCCTCCGCCCCCGGGGCCCCTGGCGACGAAGCGTCGCGCGCGACGAGAAAGACTGTGTTGGGAACTGGATGAGACATCGTGGCAGCACAGGGAGCCGCACGTGTGCACACTGAGATCTGCGGGCCTTTCCGCCCGGAGCATGATGTACAGCTGCTGCTGAGACTCTCACGCTTGCAAGCCCCGAAGAAAGTCAACTGCAGAGTGCGCGGTGGCCGCTGCGAACATACCTGTATGGCAGCGCCCCTGCCCCGAAACCATGGAGGAAGTAGCAAAAGACATGTGATTTCTGGATGTTGTTCCATGCGGGATCCCCGGAGGTCCCGACCCCTTTCCCAAGGCCGGCATTTCATCCCGAATCCTTCCGTGACCGTCCCTGGGCCCAGCGAAGGAACGGACAAGCCCCCCCCCGGCCGTTGACTCCTACCACCCCCACTCAACCCGAAGACCCGAATTTCGGGTTGGGAGGGGTACGGGTTCCATGTTTTTTTTTTTCAATGTTCCCCGATCCCCCCCCCCCCACACTGGAAATGGAGAACAAATTGAGGCTTTCGGGTTAGGTTGGGGTGGTCTGGTGGGTGGTGGGTTGTGATTCGTGCTCGCGCCGCCGGCATGTCTGGGATTCGTACAACTGCCGCACGCCGCTCGCGGAGCCTGCCGGGCGTGCGCGCGCAAGGGGTGCCACGGGACTGAAGCGGCACGTTCTCTCGACCGAGCTGCAGGAAGCTCCTCCTCCTCCTCCTCCTCCTCCTCCTCCTCTTCCTCCTCCTCCTCCTCCTCCTCCTCTTCCTCCTCCTCTTGCTCTTCCTCCTCCACCTCCTCCTCCTCCTCCTCATCATCATCATCCTGGATGGCGCCCATGTTCTCGTCCATCTTCTCGGCGATCGAAAAGAAAAGGGAACAGGCGGAGCAGCCCTGGTTCCCGCGGGGCCTGCAGTGCTCCCGGATGGCGTCCATGTTCTCGGCGATCTGCTCCTGTCGGGGACGGAGACCGACCGCAACCACTTCGGACCGATCGTCGACCACTTCCGACTGATCACAACCACCCGCTGCGATCGGTCCGACGTGGTTGCGATGTGTTTGGGTCGCCTCATTAAGTGTTCGATTGAGGGAAATATCATAAGAGTGCTTCTGGTGCACGGAACTCCCTTAACCCGCCCAATGGGAATCTGAAAAAGTGGTTGCGATCGGTCCGGCCACCGACGGCCGATCGTGATCTCAGCTAAACAGATGTAGTTGAACTCGAGCGTGGCCATGACCAGTATACGATGTCCAAGTGATTCGTATACGACTCTTATGCGAGGCGTATAAGATTCTTATGTGATTCGTATACGGCTCCGATGTGATCCGCATGCGGTTCCAAATATGATTCGTCTGAGGTGTTCGCCGGAATCCTAAGAGGGTTTCTTCGGGAATCTGGCATGTCTACCAATTCCCAGTTTCGTGGGAGGGCCTCCAGGAGAATCCTAAGAGTTCCCAGGGATCCGACCAATTGCCAGACTCCTGAGAAGGTTCCCTAAGGACTTTTCAAAATTCCTACGGACCCTACCACTTCCCAGATTCCTGGGAGGGCCTCCTCAGGGGCCCTAGGAGGTTGGCAATCCCATGAACGGACAAGTTCAGCGCTGCGTGAAACGAAGAAGAATTTCCCCAGCTGTTAGCGGGAATGCTCAACGCGCGCCCAAGACGTGCATGGCACTGATTGCGCCAGGGACAATAGTTCTGCACGGCACTATACCGCGCCAGGCGGTAACCGAAGACTGCGAAGGAGGGCGGGGGAGAAGGAGCCGGCGGAAAGAAGAGGTGGGGGATGGGGGGGAGGATCCCGTCTCGAGGTGGGGCGCGAGGACAATCAGGCCATGATAGAATGAGTTTGATAAAACTGTTAGGGGGAGAGGTCGAGTGACGACATCCCCTGGAGAAAAGGGCGAGCCCAGAGTCGCCGGGGTCCGAGACGGTCAATCCTCAGACACCATAAGGCTTAGGTCGGGCATGTCCCCATGCAGGCGGACTTTGGGCTTTTTATTTAAAAGCATCCCAGATCTTTTTCTCCTCCGCTCTTTTTTTTTTTTTTTTTTTTTTTTTAAAAAAAAAAAAAAAAAAAAAAAAAAAAAAAAACCAAAAAACAAAAAAAAAAAAAAAAAAAATGTCTGGACTACGGTGGGGCATTCCTCCTGTAGAGGGACACGCCCAACCTAACACTGGCCTCGCCGGTGCTGCCCGCGGGCGCGCTGGCCTAATATAGGCGCAGCTGGTCACGGCCGCCTTGCCCAGCTACCCGCCGCCAGCAGGCGCAGCCGGCCGCTCCGTCGCCCGGGTGCCCGGCGGGCGGCGCAAGCGACGCGCCGGCGCCGGCGCCCGCGCGGCACGCCTCGGGTGCGCGCCGAAGGCGCCCGGGCCGCGGAGGAGCCAGTCGTCCGAGCAGGGGGCCTCCTCCCACTTCTCCAGAAAGCACCGGCCAAAGCAGCGGCGCGGCGGCGGGCAGTCGGAATCGCTCTGGGACTCCAGGCCGCCGAGGGGGACTTGGCCGCTGCAACACCCTCGACCCAAAGCAACACGAACGATACTGGCGCCAAGAGCCAAAATCACTACGGAAGGCGGCCTCTGGAAACATCTTTGGGCCCTCGCGGGGCCTCGAACATCTCTTGGGCCCTCGCGGGGCCTACAGGAGCTCATCGCGGAGCCGTCTGATGCAGAAAAATGCGGAATCTTTCGAACGCAAAGAAATTCAAAATAATTGGTGTCGTTTGTCAATTGATGGCTCTGCGCGGAAACATCTAAGGGTTTTTGTTGGGGCTGTTGGGCACGTCTCTTGTGCCGTCTCGGATGCCTCCTGGGGCCCTCTCGGCACTCCTTGGAACTCTCTTCGGCGCTTGGGACCACAGGGGAACCCTCTGGAGGCCGCAGGAAAGAGTGCATCCCGCTCCTCCTCATCCCTTGGAAGGCCTGGAAATGGGCATGGGCACCGACACCAACACAGGGGGCTGCCCCCACAATTGGGAAGAAGATCCTAGATCTCGGTGTTGGTGGTGATTACTAGTTCGGTCACCTTGGAAGCCAGAATAGTAGCACCATCACCGAGATCGGAATCTTCGTCCCTCGGTGGAGGCACAATGCCGATAGTGGTGGTGGTGTCAAATCTCTGGGCCTGCGATCCCTCCTGATGGGCCTGTTTTCCATCACCACCACCACAAATTGGAGGGGGGAAGGAGGAGGAGGAAGAGGAAAACAAAAAGGAGGAGGAGGATGACAGCTCTCGGTTGCGGGCGTTGGCAGAACTGGGTTTAGTGGGACCTGGTTTAGTGACGTGTACTGGGGGACGTCCCCCGCCCCGTTCCACCAACCAGAACTGCCGTCACCCGAACAAACACCAGCTACGGCAGACCTGGTTTATCGGTGGTGGACAAACCTCCCTTTGGTGAACGACCCTTTAGCGAAAACAACCCAGGACCGAAACCGACGGACCTGGACCCGCAACAATGACGCCCACGACGCCCTCTCGCGAACCGAGAAAGGCCAATTCGCTCATCGACGCGTCAGGGTAGGAGGCCCATCAACCTCCGAGTTTAGTGACTCTGGCCAACTTCGGGGCTCCAGGGCCCTACCACTAACGGGGCCCCCTTACCTGGGGCTATGACTACCTACCAGACCACCTCAACCCAACCCGAAGATCCGAATTTCGGGTTGGGGGGGGTAAGGGTTCCGCATGTGTTTGTTCTATATTTCCTGACCCCCCCCCACTGGAAATCGAGGGTAAATCTGAGCCTTCGGGTTGGGTTGGGGTGGTTTGGTGGGCGGTGAGGCTATACCCGACGGTTGCCCGAGCTGCGGCGGGCCTGCGCGGCGGGCCCCACTGGCGTTCGCCGCCGCGCCGACCGGCCGCACGCGGGCGGCGGCTGCTCGGCGGCGCGGGCGCGCGCGGAGAGAGCCGGCCACCTCTCCTGATGGGGCCTGCTTCCACCACCACCACCACCACGAGTTGGAGGGGAGGAGGAGGACGACGAGGAGGAGGAGGAGAAGGAGGAGAACGAGGAGGAGGAGGAGGACGACGACGACGAGGAGGAGGAGGAGGAGGAGGAGAACGAGGAGGAGGAGGAGGAGGAGGAGGAGGAGGGAGGAGGAGGGGAGAGGATGAGGAAGGGAGGAGGGAGGGGAGGAGAGGAGGAGGAGGAGGAGGAGGAGGGAGGAGGAGGAGGAGGAGGAGGAGGGGAGGGAGGAGAGGAGGAGGAGGAGGAGGAGGAGGAGGAGGAGGATGATGCCCGCGGGGTGAGGCGGACCGCGTCGAGCCACGGCCACCCCTGCGAGGCGCGCGCCCCACGCGCGCCCGCGCCTCGGCGCAGCTACGCGCCCGAGGCTGTCGGCCAGGCCTCACCCCGCGCGGCCCGCAGCAGCCTCGCCACCTTGGCGGCCAAGCCTGGCGAGCTGCTGCGCTCCCGCGTGCAGCGCCGCGGCCTCGGCCAGCCGCCTCCGCCGCCCGCAGCCCCTGCTTCGCATCGAGCAGCAGAGCCACCTGCAGGCGGCATGCTCTCCTCCTGCGACCTGTCCTCCAAGTCCACGCTGTCGCCGCCCGCAGCCCCTGCTTCGCATCGAGCAGCAGGTTCACCTGCAGGCGGCTGGACCTCCTCCTGCGACCTGGCCCCTCTGGCCTCGCGTGGCGGGGGCGGTCCGCCGCCGCTGCCACCTGCAGCCACCTCGCCTCCTCTCTCGGCAGGGCCCGCCTCAGGCCGCTGGCTCTCCTCCTGCTGCTTGGCCACCTTGGCCGCCCGCCTCGGCGACTGCGAGGGCGGCGTCAGCGCGGCCTGCCTCGGCGAGCTGCTGCGCACACGCGCGCGGCGCCTCGGGCCTGGCCCTCCGCCGCCGCCCGCAGGCCCCGCCTCGCCTCCTGCCGCGGCCTGGCGCCTCGGCGAGCTGCTGCGCACACGCGTGCGGCGCCGCGGGCCTGGCCCGCCGCCGCCGCCCGCAGGCCCTGCCTCGCCTCCTGCCGCGGCCTGGCGCGCCGCGGCTGTACGCCTGCCGCCAGCTCGCCCTCTCGGGCCAGCCGCCACGCTGGAGCCCTCAGGGGTCAGGGGACGCAGGGAGTCCTCGCCCTCCCCCTCCCCGCCACCTGGAGCTCCTCCTGGCGGGCGCAAGGAGTGGCCGTCCTCCTCCCCCGCGATGTGCCGCGGCGGCTGGCCTCTCCCCTCCTGCACGTCGTCTGCCAGCATCGGCGGGGGCGGTCCGCCGCCGCTGCCACCTGCAGCCACCCCGTCTTCTCCCTCGGCGGGGCCCGCCTCAGGCCGCTGGCTCTCCTCCTGCTGCTGCTTGGCCACCTTGGCCGCCCGCTTCGGCGACAGCGAGGGCGGCGTCAGAGCGGCTTGCCTCGGTGAGCTGCTGCGCACGCGCGCGCGCGGCGCCGCGGGCCTGGCCCGTCGCCGCCGCCCGCAGGCCCTGCCTCGCCTCCTGCCGCGGCCTGGCGTGCCGCGGCTGCACGCCTGCCGCCAGCTCGCCCTCTCGGGCCAGCCGCCGCGCTGGAGCCCTCAGGGGTCAGGAGACGCAGGGAGTCCTCGTCCTCCCCCTCCCCGCCACCTGGAGCTCCTCCTGGCGGGCGCAAGGAGTGGCCGTCCTCCTCCCCCGCGATGTCCTGCGGCGGCTGGCCTCTCCCCTCCTGCACGTCGTCTGCCAGCATCGTGATGTTGACTGCCACCTCGCTGACCACCTTCGGAGCCAGCCCCTTCCTCAGCCTCGCGACCGCGGCGGCGCCTGCAGCCGAAGGGACACTCTTGCACTCGAGGTGGAAGGAGCTCGCTCTGGCCGCGCCTGTGAACCCGCACGCCCTGCAAGCCACCAGCGGCATCCTGCGCACCAGCAGCCTCCCATCAACAGGCGCGAGGAGCACCAGGTCGTGCGACGCCTCCTGCTGCGCCTTCAGCCTGTTGTTGGCCCTGATCGCCTCGGCGACGATGCTGCCAGGGCACTCTCCTGATCTGCCCGACCAT